TCAGGCAGTGTCGCTAGTGATGAGACTTTGAGAGACGATCATAATTACGTCGACAATAGCGATGATGAGATTTTTGGCCCACCTATCGATGATCTTGATGATTATTTCTAGTACATGTAAGATCTGTATTACTTATGGCAATTTTATACATGTATGATACATTTACTTATTTTGCATCTCTTTTATACATGTATGATACATTTACTTATTTTGCATCTCTTTTATACATGTATGATACATTTACTTTTGTATATGCGCATCTTGATAGTTTATTCCTTTTGTTGCAAGTGATTGATGGTGGGCGGTGGAATCGAGGAAGATTAGGTCGGTTATGACCTTCTTGGTGGGTGGCGAGGGGTCCAGCCGTGGTGGGAGGAGGTGTGTGCAGACTAAGGGTGGAGGGCGTGCCTGTGGAGGAGGAGGAGGACGACGGCGAGGCGTCGAGCCGACACCTCCTCCACAGGACGGACGGCACGACGAGTTCATAGCGGCCACGGAGGAGGATGAGGAGGAGGAGGAGACCGGGGAGGAGATAGAGGAGGCGGTGGAGGAGGGCACGGAGGAGGATGAGGCCGAGCGGGCTGAGGCGAGGAGGATCTTGACTTCTTGGTAGAGGAAAATGGGGTGCCTACGGTTTTGGCTGCGAGGGTCGTCGCGCCCTGCATTTCTACCCATACAGAGACGGCAAGTGATTCGACCCTCGGAACTAAGTAAGTAATTTTGCATGTTAACACTACTTCACTGTGTTTTTAAGTTATAACAGAAACTAATATTCAATCTCAATAACTTTGTGCGAGGATTGGGAAATGGTGATCCAGTGGAGTCACTCTCACCGAGTAAACGGGATCTGGGTCTTCATGTGTGCAGCAAACTACCTCGGGATGGTGAGGATCGATGGTGTTGTGCAACCCGCCATGAAGTGGTCCCATCAGCACGCCCGCCATCGTGATCGAGGCCCGATTGAGTGGCGGGTGTTATAACAACAAGGCCGACCGGTGATGAAAGAGCTGTGGGTGCGTGTTCATCGCACTATCTTTGATAATAACATCACATTAATTGTATATTATCGATTGTATTTGCTTGTAGGATTACTACACCTTGGCGGAGGGAGTACGTGGGGAGGACGCGGATGACGTGGTGAGCAGAAAGTGTGTTCACCGAGTGTAGGACCTCTTCTACGAGACAAAGCTCCTGTGTAGAAGAATTTACCATGCCCGCAGAGGACATAGAGTCACCAGAGCGCAGGCAGTGCACCTGCCCTTGACTAAGGAGCAATACTTGATGGTAAACATGAGATTACATCGTCTGCGATTAATTGCACTGAAATTCATTTATGATTTGTCATGTGCTCATGTACGCGCTTGAGTGCCTCCCGCTTGGTGTGCGGGGATGGACAAGCTGGCCGGGAGGCCATTGTGGACAAGTGGTTGAGTGAGGAGTACGAGCAATATCACGCCGTACGCTCACGTTACCGTGCGATGATGCAGGGTTCCTCGCACAAACAAGGCCCCACTACCCTCAAGGAATATGCAGCCAGATATGTACGCGGATTTCATTTCGTTGTTGCTATGCTAACTTCTGAATGCATAATATCTTATTGTTGTGCTTCTTCCTGCAGACGCGGTTCCACCCCGACCAGGAGTGCGCCTCGTTCAAGGCATATGCCTTGGCACACAAGGGCAAGGCAAAGGACCCCGACCTCGTCTACAACGCGGAGGACCCGCCCGAGGCATACAGCAACCCGAGCGTGCACAGGCGCCTCAGCGAGTACACGGCGATGGCGAGAGAGATCCATGGGTCAGAATTTGATCCGAGCACCGCTGACCTCGAGGGTGACATCGTCATGAGGTTGGGACCAGGTAAGCCACACGGGCGGTACTATATGGGCAACAGCACCATAGACACGGCCAACACTCAGACACTCGCCTAGATTAGAGCCCGGAGCACGAGTTCGAGTCCGGCCATACGCCCACGCTCACAGCCCCAGGTGGTAGCACTCTAGGTTAGTTCTGTTGTATTCGTTGTCCATTCATTTTCTACTCGTTCTTTATTTGCATTCTAACTATGTGATAAATAATTGTAGGCCCAGATTGAAGCCCTGCAGGAGTCACAGCAGGCCTCACAGAGCTAGCTTGGGCCCTCGGTGTCGCACCAGCCGAGTTGGCATGAGGAGAGGCGCGAGTGCAGGCCCGGCTTGAGGCCTTCCAAAGAAAGCACAAGGACTGGTACGAGTACATGGCCCGTTTTTCTCAGAGCATGGGCCAGCCTCCACCGCCTCCGCCGCCGCCGATGATACTGTTGGTGCCTCCACCTCCGCGCGACGGCACTCCTGTGAGTCACTTAGATGCACTCTTCACTTTCGTGTCATATACCTTCGACTTATACCTTAGTTTGACCTACCATAGCTTACACCTTAGAATTTGCTTTGATCCAGATAACTCACATGTGCAATCTCATTCTAGGGACCTTCTACAGCTGGATCGAACAACGATATGCAGGGTGATCAAGACCTGGACTTGACTCCGTTTCTCCGCAGGCCTCCGACCACGTGACAGGCCATCCGACCTTGTTTGATGGGTTTGTATGTTGAACTGTGGACTTGGTTGAACTTTGTGGACTTTGGACACATGTTGATGGTGTTTGTGGACTTTGCATGGTGCTTGTCGACATATGTTGGTTATTGTGAGTGGATGTGACATTTGTGGACATATATGTGATATATATTGACTATCTGTCATGTTATTATAATTTCTGTGATTTTGTTGCTTATTGTATTTGGATATGCACTTTGAAACAAACAAAAAAAATTTCTGTGGACATATTTTATCAGTGTAGCACTTTCGGTAAAGCGAAGATTCTGTTAGTTTTATCGAGTGTAGCACTCGGTAAAACAGCAAAATGTAACCGAATTGGTTACGATTCGTGAATTTTGCCGAGTGTGCCATTTTTACCGAAAGTGCCGCATCCCGACTCGGAAATATTTGACTACTTTTTACCGAAAGTGGGAACACTGGTAAAAATTATTTCAAGTTTATTTGGAATTGTTTTAATCACGAAATTGGTTATTCTTTTACCGAAAGTGTTAGGAGCTACACTCGGTAAACATTATTCAAAAATTTATTTGCGGAATTGTTTTAATCACGAAATGCTAATTTATTTACCGAGTGCTGCTGATCACACTCGGTAAAAGTCGCCGTTAACGGTCAGTTTGGAGGCTGACGACCGTCAAGTCATAATTGTTTACCGAGTGTCATTTCAGCACTCGGTAAACCTACGTTCCGAGTGTGCCGATATTAGACACTCGGTAAAATAACGTTACCGAGTCGTTATTTGCCTAAAGATTTTGCCGAGTGTGTAGCACTATTTGCCGAGTGTTACTCACACTCGGTAAATACACAGTATCCCGTAGTGACTGTTCGTTGTACAGCAAATAGGAACTTCAATTCTTTCATTAAGAAAATCTGGACAGTACTGTGCTAGAGTCAAAACCTTTGTGTAGAGAATAGCTAGCCCATAATAGTCTACCAATGAAGAAGCAAATTAGCAAAATGGTGGACTGGATATTGGTACTCGTTCTCCCATGTGTTTCAGATTTGCTGAAAGAGGCACCTGTTTTCTAAATGTAAATTCGCAAAAGGAAGCATGGACTATGGAGAGCTAGCTCTAACATTGGAAACTGAAAGTAACAGTCTAAACTTGTTACAAACACCAAAGGAGGCGTTGCTCAAGCTCAGTATAAGGTAACATTGAAATATTCGGTGCTGGTTTGTGGTATGCTCCGGTTAACATTGAAATATTCGGTGCTGGTCTGTGGTATGCTCCGGTTTGCACCTTGCAATACTGGGCTACTCATGGATTTCAGCTGTGGTGTAGTTGTGTTTGTAACATTCCATTCCTCTTAATGAAACACTTGCGCTCCTGCGTATGTCCCCGAAAAAGGGGTGGCTTAAAGACATGCAAGTTAGAACAACCAAAGCGCTATGGAGGATCTGATCTCTTTGGGTAATGATGCAAACGAAGAGCAAATTGCAATCAAGACATACAGGTTGCTGGCTAAAATGCTAGTGAGAGCACTGAATTCTTGGACACTAAAAAAGAAACATGTGGTGCAGCATTGCAACCTCTAAATTATACAGACACCCGTATGTAACAAGTATGTAGTATTTAAAATGAAACCTATCACCCAAACCCCATAACCTTTGGTGCTAAGCGGAGCAGCGGCTCGAGCGTGTCTGGCGCGAACTTGCGCGCGAACACGTAGCAGACGCCGCTCGCTCCGTCATTGTAGGCGGTGCAGTTGTTTTCGCCGCCTGGGCCGAAGCCGCCGCCGGCGGCGCTCGCTCTGATCTCCCTGATCAGCGCCTCTGTGGCGTCCCCTGCCACGTGCGTGCGCGGGTGAGAGCCGCCTCCCCTCCAGTCTGCGTACGTGAGCGTCCGGTTGGCGTTGCGCGTCCACCGGAGCACGCTCACCAGCGTCGGCAGGTAGTGCTCCTCCGCGAAGCAGTACCTGTTGCGCGCGCAGTACTCGCGGAACGCCGGGAAGTAGGTGTCGTCGGAGACGAGCTCGAGCGCGAGCGCCCGGTCCATCTCGAACCACTGCGCGCCGCGCCCTTGCGCCACTGCGCGAGCGTGATGTTGCTACCGGCGGCGCGCTGGCCGAAGAAAGGGTCGTACCGCACCTCGCTGTCGTGGTTGACGAAGCTGTCCACGAAGCTGGTGTTGGAGCCGGTGAGCAGCGCGTACACGGTGGTGAAGTTGTAGAGCGGGATGCACGACTCGGAGAGCAGCGCGAACTGCTGGTTGCCCAGGTCCAGCAGAGCGTTCGCCACCAGCCGGCGCGCGGCGTCCACCAGGGTCACGTCTCCCCAGGACGTGTTCTGCAGCCATACATGTCCATGCTCGTCATTGTGTGCGATCGAATTCTTCACTTTGTCAGTGGCAGTGCTGCAACCTTTTACATACCTTCTAGTATCTATATGTGATTATTACATTTTACATACCTGGCTTGGGATCATGCGATCGTAGAACACGGAGTCCTCCGGCGGCGAGCTGGTGTAGGACGGATCCGCGTGCACGTAGATGGAGTAGAGGCCGTGGTCCCCCTCGAAGAACTTCTCCCACAATGGCCGCAGCGGCAGGTCACCCCTTGCCAGGAACAAGAAGGCAACCTTTGGCACGCGGTGGTACGTCGTGGCGCGGACCTTGGGCGACATGGACGCCCACCAGAGCAGCTCCTCGTCGGTCATGTTGTTGCTCTTGACACTGCTAAGAGAGCCAATCATCAGTTCCGCCACCTTAGGGCTTTGTACTGATGTCGTCGAAGGTGTAGGTGGAGGTGGCGACGGAGGCGGCGGCGGCTGTAGGGCCGGAGGTGGTGGTGGCGACGGCGCAGGCGGCGGCAACAATGGAGGTGGTGATGGTGACCACATCCTCGCAGAGGGCAATGGCGGCACGAAAGGGAGGTAGAAATTTGGGAACTTGGCGTTGCAGGTGATGCCCACGACAAAACCCAAGGAGAAGCAGAGAAGCATAGGCATCACCATGCCGAGGAGATTCCTTCCTACTACCGGAGACACCCGGATGGGCATGCTTGTGTCGTTCATGGTTTAGCCGCAGCCCGCAGGTTAGCAGCACGTGTGATCCAGAGAGATGCAGCAATGCCAGTCTATAAGGGTGACGACGAATACACGTATTGGCGCGTATACACAGCTCCGATCCGATCGATCCACTTTGCTTCCTCTGCAAATTAACAGGTGTCGCTTGTGGCTGCAAAAGTTTGCGGTTGTTGACTTCTAATTTGTTTCAACATTTAGGCCCAGTTTGGATTCATTATCTTATAATAGTTAGCTGACTAATACCTCATTATATGATTTGGTCTAGCCAGTGCGATACAGCTAACAATTAATAGTCTATTATCTATGCCTGTTTGGATCCAAAAGAGACAAATATTAGTAGATAACTACTATTCATAGGGATCAAATATGGCCTTAGTTGTTTGACATACGCAGGAAACCAATTTATATCAGTCACACATCATTTTTTTTGGTTACTAATTACTCCCCAGGGAATATGTAATTAGGTCTTACGACAAATATCGGCCTGCTCGTGTGGGGATAGATGAGAAACAAATGCAGCTTCCCCTATGGAGCACAAGGGGCACTCGTAAACGAAATTAAACTGTACGTGCATACACTCAAGAAATGCCGCCAATACTGGCAGAATGATGCAATTGTTATGTTTCCATCTTTTCTCTATCTAGCTTCTATCTTTTTTCTGACTTTTCTAGCTCTACCTCTTCTCTATCTTTGCATCTAACCCTCTATCTCTTCCCTCTACTACTACTCAGTACAAAAACTTGGGTCATTTTTGGTTGACAAATGCATAATATTAACAAGACTAAGGGCCTCTTTAATACAAGAGCTAATTGCTAGCCAAATCAGAATTAGCTAAAATTAGTCATATTACATCCAAATAGGAGGAGAGCTAATAGGTGAGCTAATTGTTTAGACAAGCCTTCAACTAGTTGTTAGCCAACTAATAAGAACATGTTTGATGAGCTAGGGCTAGTTACTAGGGGAGCTAAGAATTAACTCAAATTAGAGTTTGACTAGCTAGTTAGCTAACAAGTTGGAGACTCGGGTAAAATTAGTCTATCAATTAGTCCTCTTGTTTGAATGCACTAGAGCTATAGCTAAACTTTAGCTAGCTAGCTAGTAATTAGCTCTTGTATCCAAACAGGTCTTAACTAACCAATCTTAGTTAGTTTGAGCTAATTTTAGCCCAACTTATAACTAGTCCTAGCTCATCCAAACATGCCTTAAATAGAAAAATGCAATAGTTTTATATTCATTTTTGGGGTATTGTGTGGTCAGAGATGAACCATTGTGAGATCAACGCAAACTATTGTATAGAGTTAGATCTCGTTTGGGGCACCCGCAATGGTATAAGCTAGTTAGACTATCTCCAGCAGGTGACGCATGACAATACCCAAACCAAAAATGCGTCTTTGCATGTTACTTTAGCGTAAAAACAACCTCCAACGGGACAGGCATAAGGAGGAGGCATATTGCGTGAGAGGTTGGGACTTAACCCAAATATCGTCTGCGCCGCAGCCCCGGCCAAAGCTGCATGTGCGCTAGCTCCGACCCACACCGCTCAAAGCTGCTTTTGTCCGGTCGCACTTGCATGCATGGGGTCTTCTTTTGCGTCCCCTGTTGGAAAACACCAAAAATAGGTAGGTGACTTGTTTGCTACAACACCACGCATTTCATCTAATGGGTCTCCTATTTGGATCATGTTTGTTGGAGATAGTCTTACTAGCTCAAGCCAACTTCTTTAACAGTGCTAACTTTAGCATATTGCTCATAACATGGATAGCCCCACATGACACTCTCATATGTTCTTGGAATGTGTATATGACCATATCTCTTGAACAAGAGCTAGCTTTTCTCTTTCTTCTATTAAAATATAGAAAAAAATACTTAGAACTAGCTTATTTGTCAGCCATTGCGGGTGTTCTAAGAGACCGGAATAAGCTTCTTGACTCTATTGGGATCAGATGGTGTTTGGTTGAGGAGACGAGGAAAGACGCATTAAGGCGATTCCAATTTCGCTGATATTTGATTGAGAGGGGAGAGGGATGGAGTCATTCGTGGCAAACCCATCCTTCAAAATCGAGATGGAAAGAGTTAGTACCCTCATATAAGATAAGTGAAAAAAGATACATGCACATAAATGGTTCGAGTTTTCTTTGTGCGATTTGCATATGGTTTCAGTATAAACTAATTTTTAACATGTAGTACTCTTTCCGTACTAAAAAATAAAATCATTTTGGGCAAAGTTTGGGTTAAACATTAGGAATATAAATCATGAATAACTTCTAAGTTGTTGAGTTTGAAAATGTGAAAACCATATGAATAGATTTGTTTTGAAAAATACTTTCATAAAAATATACATATATTACTTTTTGATAAATATTTTTATAAAAACAAGAAGTTAAAGTTATACTTTGGGTATATATATATATATATATATATATATATTAATATATAATATATAGAGTTGGGCATAAAGTTTGAAGATAAATTTCACAACAATTTAGTTGAGTTTTTTTTTTCTATTTTTGCTAAGTTTATCTATATATACTAATATTAAAGTGTGTTGCATTTTTGTGGTGCCTCACTTCATCCTCGTGCCGTACGAGTTAGAGCAGCATGCGTAGGCATGGTGGGAAGTCTGATCCAAAACGGATTGAAGTGCATGACACGATCTTTGAATAAATCTCCAAGCCTCCTTTGCCCGTATGAGTTTGAGTGACAGGGACTCCAAACATATGTCGTGGTGTTCGTTTACAAGACAAGTGAAATGTACTCCCTTCATGCTTAAAAACAAAGTCGTTTTGAGATTAGCACATGGCTTGATGACCATGGATCTTCCTGCCCTCAACTCTTGGCCAGGCCGAGTGGTGGAGGCTGAGGTTCTCCGTCGCTTTGGGACCAGTGTCACTAGTTCTCCATCTTCACAAGCTAAGCCTTTCTTCCTTGTTCTCTCGGTGGGCCGAATTCCGTCTTACTCTGCATCTGATTGAGCATCTTCTTCATGCTACTCTTGGTGGTTTCCCTAGAGCGTTTAGTGGTGCAATTGAGTGATAGAGTTTTTCGGTTCTCAGCAGCATCACAGTTAGTTGGTTTTCATATCTATAACCTTTGATCTTTCGAATGTGTGGATTACATGGTCTTTTTCCATCTCTGGCATAATGATGGTCCGAATGATTTGGTTGAGTTCCGCAATTGGACTTTGGAGCAAGCTGCAGAGTGGCGGAGGTTGCTAATCGTAAGACGGTATGTCTCTCTGGGGCAAATTCTGTTCCCATCTCTAATCATTGTCTTCTTGCTCAGAGCTCCAAATCCATGGAGTTTTTGAATTTCAAAAATCCTATTAATGCTGGTCGTAAATCGGTCTTTAAACGCATTGAATTTGGGATGAATTTGCCTGGTAATTATAAGACCGTTTCTTATTTAGAGGCGGGAATTTTGGGTCCGATTCTAGATCCCAAACGTATTATTGCTGGCCATGGGCCTTCGTTGCAGCTATGTTCCATCCGCTTATCTCTGGCCCATTCTAGGCCTACTTGTAACAGTAGTTTTCGGTGCCGACGATGTCTTTGGCTCGGACACGTTTCTGAATTTTGCAACATCCTGCCTCGATCCTCGCGCCTTCCTTGCGAGCCGACTGCCCCTTCGCATTCTGGGAATCATCATGTTGCTACGTCCCTGATCAGTGGACTTTTGGGACAAACAGCCCCGATATTTTCACTCATTCACCGAATACATTAAAGCACAGTCCGGCCTCTCCACTATTCCCTCACCAATCACCGTTCCATGGCGTAAGACTTGGAGGCTCCAGGCTCCTGAATTCATCAACGAAGACAATACTGCTTCCTCTTCTTCGGTGCCGGCGGTGACCTCGGCGCCGTCGTCATCGTTGATCTTCTCGTCCTTAGGTGAGTATGCCTCTAAAGTTCTTGGCATTCGTCACCCTCCTAGTTTTACTCATGTTGCTTGGATGCTGAAAACCCGAATCGATGCTACAGTAACCTCTGCTTCTGCTAGGATGGCGTACCGATTCGTTGATCCCACGCCATTCATGCCAACTTGGGGCCAGAGAGTGATGGTACTTGGACGCCCTGCAATGCATCGAGTGATCACTGGTAGACTTCAAAGGCATAACAATGATTTTGCGATTGCCTTTCTTCATCCTCTGCCACTGTACCAGATGGAATTTGATGACATCCGCAACACTCTGGTACAATTTCTAAATGTGCAGATGAATATGCCTTATCAATCTATTCAACCCTGTCCTTTTGGCCAAGCCTATGTCACTTTCAGTCATGTTTCGCATAGAGATTTGTTGATCAACAGTGGTCCTCATCAGATTGGTAACACACACACATTTCTTTCATCCCTCATGATCATGCTTGGAATAACAGAACAACAGTCTACACTCATGAAGTTTGGCTTATGATGATTGGCCTCAATCTAGACCTTTGGTCCTACTCGTTAGTGGATAAGGTAGTTTCTCAGTTTGGCAAGCTTATGATTTGGGAGGAGGACCACAACCATCAAGCCAGGGCTCTAAACTTTTCTGAGGGAGAGGAACCTGAATTAGAGAGTTGGACGGTACAATGTGAGATCATTCTGACTAGGATGCTTGGTGCTCAACCTCAGGATGAGGACTTCCCACCAGATGATCCTGATGATGTCAACCCCAACAACTTTGAGTACTTTGGCTTTGGTTAACCTAGTCAAGGGCCGACACCACCCAATGGCCTGAATCAACCAAATGCTTAGTTCATTGCAGATTTGTGTAATCTAGCTTGGGCTCCTTGGGGTCAGAATGTAGCCTAACTCTTAGGGAATCATTTTGGACAGGGGCAACCTATAGGCCAGAATGGCTTTTAGCCCAATTTGGATGAAGTGCCACTAATTCCTATTCAACCAAAGTGCATGCTCAAGAGGTGGTTGCTGCTATAGAAGAAGCTTTGTCTCGTTGAAGAAATCATTTAGAACAACCAAGGCCAGGAGGGTATCCCTCCTTTAGTGAA